CTTTGATTTCTCATTTCATGGACATCTGAAGCCATGAACATTGAGAAGGACTATTTTGTGATCATTTTGACTTATCTATAAGTAGGAGGCTTGCAAAATCCCTTAGGAACTCATCCTGGTAGATTTGAACCTCAGTTAAGCAGATTCAATTAGTGGGCATAGATGGGCTGAAGAGCAGCAAGGGCTCAACTCCCAGAGATACTAAGAGCTTATACAATGTATTATTACTTTTAAAAATGCCTTGTTTCCTGTCACTGACACGTTTTCTTCAAACCATTTGGGAAGGAAACTACATCTCGGAGGTATGCTATAACTACAGTTTAATTTCATAGCCCCAGATTTTCTTCGTATTTTGTCTCCAGGAATTTGAGTATAGGGTCAGGGGAGGCAGTGAATACCCTTGTTATTTGATGTTTCAAAGACTGAATAATGTTTTCATTCATGCTGGCCAGATGACAAAGAGAGACACGTGTAATTCACTCCGGGCACCACTGCCCCAAATCTTTCCAGAGTGTATTAAAACGATGGGAACTAATAAATCTTTGAGCTCACACTTGGTCCCAGGCAAAGAGGTAACTTTTGGTGCCTTACATATTAATTTTCTCACTGCTACTGTACAAGGTAGGTCCCAAGAAGAAGAAAAAAGCTTAGACATATTTATTTTAATGGAAGTAGAAAACAGAGGGGGCAATGTAGTGATGGGAGGGAGAGGGGACCAAGAAGAGGAAAGGAGAAGATAGGAAAACTTGCTCAAGAGTCTACAAATGCGCAGTAAACTAGTTAAACGGTTCACCTATGGTCTCATGGCTAGTATCATTGCCAGAATAAATATGTGGCTTGTTTGACACTAAAATCTATGCCTTTAAAACCTTCACTGTGTACCCAGGGCCCTGTGGCAGACACTGATGCGATTTCCTTTTCTTCTTGGACACATAGCAAGGTTCATTTTTCAGTCTCCCTTACAGTTAGAGGTGCTCATGTAAGCAAGCTCTTGCCAGTGGAATATGCCATCCCTTCACTGTCTGGCCACTAAAGCCTTTTTCACCACATTCTCTCTGTTCCCCTGTTGGGAGGCTGAAGGAAGATCTCAGAGCCCATAGAAGAGGTCATAAAGGAAAATAAAGCTACACAGTAGAAGGGTCCTGGGTCCCTGAAACATTATGCAGACGGCTCTCTGGAAGCAGGTGCATGAAGTGCCGTGTGAGCAGGTGAAGCTTCTGTGCTTTGGGGTCACTTGCCATAGTAGTCAGATGTCCCTGGCTAATGCAAACACAAGTAGTCACCCATCACTTAATGACGGGGACACATTCTGAGAAATGTGTCATTAGGCAAGTTCCCTCTTACTCAAACAACATAGAGTGAACTGACACAATAGTGGACAGCACAGCCTGCTACACACCTAGGTGGCATTTTGTACAGCATGTGATTAAATACCATAAGCAATTATAATGTAACAGTGCACATTTGTGTATTTAAACGCAGAAAAGGGTATGGTAAAAATACGGCATTACAATCTTATGGGATAATCACATATACATTCATTCATTGAACAGAATTTTGTTATGTGGCATGTGACCTGCACAAAAAGCAGTGTGGCACATCTCAGCCTCCTCCAGCCATATTTATCCTACTTGACAGTAGGTTCAATCAGGTCAACTATGTCCTACCAGTGTTTTAGCGTCTAACAGATACCAATGCCTTCATCTCTGAGGACTGAATCCTAAAGATTTCCTACCCAGAAGAAGGGCATGAGGGAAATCCTGAGCCCTCTGCAAACCATGTCACATGGGTAGTTGCCTATTTACGTACTGTAGGGGTAAATCCTATTTGCATCACATTCAATTTTCTGTAAACATTTAAAAATAATAATTAGAAAAATAGAGAAAGTGACAGGTCTATTAGAATCTTAAAACTGTGTTATATGTGGACGAAAGCAGATTGTCACCATCGTGTACTGTTAAATTTAAAGCTAAAGAGAAAATAAACTCCCTTTTCACCATTCCTAATACAAACAAATATTTCTCATCTCAATGGCAAAGGTAAAGAAATGGACCTCTCTAAGAGTGTTCTAGCCAGGGCTTCTCCTCCTCATAGATTTCTACAATCTCAGGCCTCAAGTTCAGTTCCACGACACTATATCATAACACCCACAGCAAGATAATGCTGTCTTGCTGCTGTTATGGTTATTAACATAGTTGCTATTGCGAAGTCTATTAGCTGCATACTTTTTTATGGGTATGAGTTTATCTTCACAATATCCTGGAGGGAAGATGGGTGGTGACTTTTATCAGCACTATTCTGGTGCTTAAGTAACCAGAGAGAGAAGTGCAAAGCCATTTCCCAGTGTAACGCAGCCAATCAAAAGCACAGTCACGTTTAACATTCGAAGGATTTCCACTGTTGTGCACTTAGGCAATGACTCACACTCAATGACTCCTATGGGTTTTTGGACAAAATTCCCATTGTAGAAAAAGATTTTCCCCAAGTCAAAAAAGAAAAATCTTAATGGCCTTAGTCATTGAACTAGATTCAAAATATTTTAAATTATGACATTTTCTTTGTTGCCTGGGAATGTCCCCCAAAAGCAGTTACTCTGCAGTAAGAGAATGACAAGGAGGATCTGTTTGGAATGAACTTTACTACTGATGTATAAAGCATGTAAAGATATTATGCAATATTCATAGCATGTCATCGTGAGTTTATTTCTGTTCCTTAATCATTGGAGACACTTTAGCATAGTAAGTCCGAATTGCTCTAGGGGCGCTAAGTGTTCCACACATAAAGCTGTGTTTCGGAGTCTCACTGTGTATACAAAACAAAAGCCAGCCTCCTTAGTCTGACCTGCAAGGCCCTCCATGATCCCTTCCCAAGCTATCTCCTCATGCATGCTTCTGCTACACATGAACATATTTTAAAGTGTACACAAATCACCTTGCTTCTTAGCCTATCACTCCCTGAAACTTCTGTCTTTATATATGCCATGATGCTTATCCCAATCACTTAGAAAAATTTTATTTTCCTGTTAACTCTACATTTAAAAGTCCCTTTTCATCTTTAAAATACCTACCTTAAAATGCTACAATTTCTCTTGAATTCCCAAATGACCTTTGTGGGGTCACTTGCTTCTCTCACACTTCCTGTAATACTTAGTGGCTTGTGGACCCTAGGAGCAAATACCTGCCATGTTCAGTCATTTTAATTATCTGTAGGGACTAGCCATGTGTTTCACAGGTAGCAAGTGCTTACTTCTCATAGTCAAGCATTTTTTGATGAAACTGTTTCAAACTAACTTTTTCTCACATGAAAGAGATACAATTCGAGAAAGAGACATACATTCTTCATAGGACCCAAAGGGGTAACAGCATGTATTCTGTGGCAACAGTCATTTTGGATTAAGGATAATCTTAATTTGGGTTCAGCTATTATTGCTTATGTGTTCTGTGTTTTTCATGGGCTTCTCTCTATTATATAGAGATTAGAATTTTAAATTTTCTAAAGAAGTTTCTAACACATCTTTATGCCATGTTCTCTTGCTGACTCTAAAATTAAACCCACATACCAATAATGTCAGATATTTTCCTGAATGGCCTATTTAATTTATTTATTTACTTATTTATCTATCTTTCTATTTATTTACTGAGACAGAATCTCATTCTGTCACCCAGGTTATAATGCAGTGGCTTGATGTTGGCTCACAGTAACCTCCACTTCCTGGGTTCAAGCGATTCTCATGCCTCAACCTACCAAATAGCTGGGATTACAGGCATGCACCATCACGCTTGGCTAATTTTTGTATTTTAGTTAGAGAAGGAGTTTCACCATGTTGGCCAGGCTGATCTAGAACTCCTGGCCTCAAGTTATTCACTCTCCTTGGCCTCCCAAAATGCCGGGGTTACAGGTGTGAGCCACCACACCCAGTCCTGACCAGTCCATTTTAAACAATATATCGGAAGGACATATTGGCATTTCTAGAGGGACATTTATACTTAAAAATAAGTAAATATAACAAGGATGACTAGGCTGATCTCCCGCTAGGGAAAAAATATAGCCAAAGCCATGAGGAGTGGAGGAAAGTGAGTACTCCAAGTTACCGGGTTAGCAGCACTGTCACTTGAGGAAGCATGCTTTTAAAGTGCAGGTGAATTCAGGAGTTTGTCTAGTCTATTACGGTATCAGGACATGCCTTCACTAGATCACCCTCAATCCTTTATCTGACAAGACAGTCCGTCCTTGAAGATGTTTATAAAATTGCTTAAATCTTAATCCCCATATTTGGTGGAAAATAAAACATTCTCACACATTTACAAAAGTTCTCTGGAAAATTGGGGTGGAGTCGGATGAGATTGCTGTGGTAAAGGCTGTCTCATACACTTTTAACTCCCTTTATTCGGTGCATTTACAGATATTGGAGGTTCAGTGGAATTATTTGTATTTAAAGATACAAAAATATATCAGGGAAAATCTATGATGAAGTTGGAGAAATAAAATTTGCTGCTTTTGTCATTGTACTTAATAGACCCTAACCATAATCAATATAAACCAAAAAAAGTTAAGGACATGGGGGAATGTTTTTGATAGGATTTGTGAATTTTAAAGGGCCAGTCAGTCCTTAAACACAGGGGCTCTGGGTCACCTCATAAATCCACATTTCAGAGCATTGGCTCTGACACACTTCTGCTGCCAAACATGAATGGCCTGCACTGGAATAAGATAACTTCTAAGTATTTTAGAAGTAGTAACTAATTTAATCCTCTACCAGCCCCCTGACATAACAGCTATATCATTTCAGTCTTACAGTGGAGGAAACAGGCATGGAGTAGCTGGTGGAAGATGCAATTCCCATGCTGGGCAGCCTGGATTCAGAGCCACCCTCTCAAACAGGACACTAGTAAGAACACTCGTGACCAGCCCTCATCTCACTCTAGGCTACTCTTCTCAGCCCCTCATTTTGAACATGATTTGTTATTTCTACAACTCATCATCTACCCTCATTCTTGCAGTGCCTGGGGAACACGTCCTCTAATCCCTTGCTAACTAAGATGAAGTGTGGCATCAGCCCAGCAGCAGCAGAGCATGTTAGAGAGGCAGAACTTCAGACTCACCTTGGAGCTGCTGAATCTGAATCTCATTTAACAAGATCGTCGAGAGAATCGAACGCACTGCCATAGTCTTCTTAACATTCATCCAGGGACAACTCCATCTGCACAATGCAGAAATGGGCATTTCTCAGAACTTCACGCTCCACCTTGGAGCTGCTGAATCTGAATCTGCATTTAACAAGATCCTCGAGAGAATCACCACCCTACCACAGTCTTATTAACATTCTTGCAGGACAAGTCCATCTGCAGGATGCAGAAATGAGCATTGATCTGGGGGGAGCTGATCAGCAATAATCAATCCCGTTAGCCATGGGAACATAATGCAAGGCAATATGGTGAGTGAAACTTGACGAGTACGATATGTTGTGCATGTTTTTGGAGGAGAGAGTTTCCCTGTCACTATAGACTAGACGCCATGGTGATGTGACACTAAAGACACCGGAGTCCATCATGTTGAGCAGGGGATGGAGCCAATCAGGGGAAATGGAGCCTGGGACAAAGACGGGCCCTGCGCCACATTTGCCTGGAGCCAGCATTTTCCTTTAACTTTGTAGTCTTGTGAGCCAATCAGTTTCCTTTTGTACTGGACACAGGTTGAGTCCTGTTTTTGTTTCTGGGTCATGTGCAGTAAGACACAGATACCAATATATCTGCTGTACTCATTGGGTACTTTATCAGCTCTCACTCAGGGTGTAATTATTTTTATCTCTGCAGATGAAGTGTAAGTTCCTTGAGAGGATGATACTACCTTCTACCTTTTTTTATATTACTCCTATAATGTCTTATAGAGTATGGAGCAGTACACATGTCATTTTATAGTGAATAAAGAAAAATGGGTTTAAAATATTAATTTGCAATGTTTAAAATGGTCAGAGGATGGAGGACATTTAGTTCATCAAGTATTCATTGGACACTGTCCAGGGCCATAGATGAGGCTGTGCACTGCCGATGCAGAGGTGATGAAACTATACTAGAGGACGCCAAACATACTAGAGCAGCCTGGGGGAATCACAGTAACACTTTGATAATTTCAGCAGATGTAGGATAGCTCATAGCACCCTTATGCTGTATACACAGCAGACATTATTTCATAGCTGAAGGTAGAATGCAAATTGATTAAACAATTAAGGACTGTGATGAGTAAAAATCAAAAGTGGATTTGAATCCCAGTGGGTTGGATTAGAAAGACAACTAAACCAGGAAACTATTATGGGTTTTTTTCTTTTTGGATTATTTTTACAGTGCCATGGCTAAAAGTTGGCTTTGAGAAGTTCCCCTTTTTAGTAAATTGTGGAGTTTGTAATCTGTGAGAATGCTTTTCCATGCAACCATTTCTGTGTGTTTCCCTCCTCTTGGCTAAAATGTCTGTAGTTGGAATAGTTAATAACGTTTGCTGCATTTCTCATCATACTGCATGGCGTCATTACCTGAGAGCTGTGTCCTTAAATGAGGCAAGTTCTTCTCCCACTGAGCATGTGTATCAGCTCTGTCCCACACAGACTTACTTGTCCTGTGTGTCATGGAAGGAGGCGCTCCTAAATGCCTGATGAAGGCAGGATCCCTGGTATCTTGTGATTTCTGGGACTCCCTTTTGTCTACTTAACTTTCTCACTATATTCAGATTCCTGCCCCAGCTCTTCAATACTTACATTATTTTTTAAATTTGATAACAAGATTAGATATTAAGTTTTTATCATCCCAGCCTCTAGCAAATCTACTGAACTGATTTGGAAAAGCCCAGGAATTTTGACTATCAGCTATAGGTATGAGCTTCAGCGTAAGTTTAAAGATATTTTCGATACCACTTAATAGTTCTGTCTTGGCAATAAGCCCTCTAGTTAAGGGAAGATATTTAATCTAAAAATGCACACGCTTAATCATATGTCTACAATTTATGTCTAAAATACAATATGTACAGGCTTAGATTTTCAGCTTTGACATGAGAGAACTTGGAAGCTGTCACTCTGTTCTTACAATAAAAAAAACTGGAAGAAATGAAAATAAACAACTTCATGAGACCCATCAAAGAACTGAGATTGCTAAGAAAACTACAGCAACATCTGGAGAGACATGTTCATTCAGAGACGCAGCCCAGAGGGGCTCACCTGGAGCAGAAGCCGCTGGAGCCCTGAGGGGTCGGGACACTGGCAGCGTCATTGGATGACCTGCGGGAGGCTAAGTGCCCAGCATGGTGCTGCAGACTTAGGGGAGCTCACACCTTCCTGGGCTTTACCTCCAGAAACGCACCCTTCTCACAGTGAAAGTCAGAGAAACATCCCCTCTTGGCCATTTCATGGGGGGAGATAAAAGTAATCATTGTAAAACACGTTGCTTTTTCCATAAAAAAAAAAAGACCAACACTCTAGGGAAAAAGACGCTGTCAGAGCCGAATGCCCGTGAGGGAAGGGTATTCCTCCCAAACCCACAAGCAACAGTAGTGAGGACTTCAAGGAAATAGATGGAGAGTATTGAAGCCATAGAAGGAAGAAAGGATAGAGGAGAGAAAAAAGCCATACCACTGGAGAGACAACTCATGAAAGTTACATCTCCAAGACACTGTCTCCTGAAACATTAATATGTAAACAGAAGATTGAACAACACTCCCCAGACCCATAATATAATAAACAATGGATTACAGACAGATTCACTGCAAGGCACACGCTCTATCTGAGAGATGAAGGGGGGTGAATTTTCCACGTGGCATAACAATCCTCAAGGTGCGTCCATTGAGGGTAAAAATACGTGTGGCAAAACCTGATGGAACTGAAGAAAGAAATACACAAATCTACTGCTAACGTTGGAGACGTCAACACCCCACTTTTCTTAACGGATAGATTAAGCAGACAGAAAATCGGTAAAGATATGGTTGACCTGAAGAGCACTATCAATCAACATGTACGAATTGACATATAATGAATACATTAGTAACAGTGGAGTACACCGTCTTTTCAAGTTCACATGAAACATTCACCAATATAGACCACATTCTAGTCTAAAAACCACTCCTTACCAAATGTAAAACAATAGAAACCAAACAAAATATGTCTTTAGAGCACAACGGAATTAAACTAGAATCTATAGCTCAAATACAGCTGGAAAATCCTCCAAATATCTGACAATTAAACAACATATTTCTAAATAAGTTACAAGTCAAAGAAGCCTCAAGAAAAGTTAAAACATATTTTTGAATAAAGGAAAATGCATCTTATATAATGGACGAAGTTCAGTAGAAGTGGTACTTAGAGGGATTTTATAGGATTGGATGCATACTTAGAAAAAAATCTAAAATCAATAACGTAAGCTTCCACCTAAGAAATGAAGAAAGAACAATGTAAGCCTATAGCCAGCCACAGAAAAGGCATCACAAACACCAGAGCACAAGTCCAGGAAGCTGAAACAGGGAAACTATGGGGGGAAAAAACTGACAACACAAAAAGCTGGTTAGTTCTCTGAAAAGACAAATAAAATGGATACAACTCAAGCCATGTTAACCAAGAAAAGGCTTTTTAAAAAAGAGAGTGAGTAAGAAGGCAAAATTTATCAACACCGGAAGTTAAGTAAGACTTGCTTCTGATTCTACAGAGATTAAAATAATATTAAAGGAATACTATGCACAACTTTATGTCACACATTTGATAATGTAGATGAAATGGATCAGTTCCTTAAAAGACACAAACTCCCAGAACCCACGAAAGGTAATGTATCTAACCTGAACAGTGGTGTGTCTGTTAAAAAGGTGGAATCAGTCATTAATAACATTTAAAAAAATCAGTTCCTAAAGGTTTCACGTTGAATTCCATGAAATATTTCAAAGGAATATTTAAGGAATATTTCATACCAATTCCCTATAACCTCTTCCAGAAACTAGCAGAGACAACACTTTCTATCTCGTTTTATGAGGCCAATTTCTGTATGCTTTAGTGCCGATAGTTTTTTACCCAGAATGATTTTTAAAACTTATTTCTGTAATAAGCACATACTTTTTTTTTTCTTTTTTGAGAAAGAAGATTTTTGCTCTGGTGCCCAGAGTGGAGTGCAGTGGCATGATCTTGGCTCATTGCAACCTCTGCCTCCCGGATTCAAGAGATCCTCATGCCTTAGGCTCCAGATCACCACACCTGGCCCATAATTTCTATCTATATCATGTATGAGCCATTAAGTACCAAGATGTATTGTACATGAAAATGGCTTTAGTTCAAAGATATAATTGTCTACAACTGCACACAGCTTGCGTAGGGGAAATGAACACAGCCATTTGCTATCTTAATCTTCAGTTGGTTTGGATTCAATAAATCAGAAAGGAAGTCAATCTTATATTCCAAAGTTTTAATACTTGACGCACAACATGATTTTTCGATTTACATACTTTCTGTAGCTTTAAACATATTTCTACCTACAATTTCCTAATGTGTAGAAACATGCTTCAAACTGAGTATTTTCCGTATTTAAAAGGCGTAGTTTACTACTGAGGGAAGGCCGACATAATTGTTGTTAGAGTAAAATGTAAACATTTGAAGCATTTCAGAAGTAATTCTAGCCTATCCAGAAAGTTTAATTTTCATACTTTTATTAAGATTTCTAACCTATACTTAAGTATTAATTCACTTCAATTTGCTGCTTTTTTTGTAAGTTACATGACATAATCTGTTGCCTACCCTCGGATATTTCTAAGTCCTTTCTTGTATCTGAAATACATAACCCAACACTTTTTAATATACTTGGAAATTAGATAAGTGTGCTAGTTCCGTTTTATGGATAAGAAATAGAAGTTGGATGGGAGGAGGCTGAGGGTCACAAAACAACTTATCAGGCACTATGCTTCTTACCAGGGTGGTGAAATATTCTGTACCCAAAACCCCCATGACAACATTTACCTACATAACATACCTATACTTGTACCCTTGAACTTAAAATAAAAGTTAAACTTTTTTTAAAAAGTCAAAAGAATAAAAATAATTTGCTTAAGATAAAATGCAAACAGATCTCTTACTGTAGTACTTGAACACTGTGAATATACTTAGGAGCAATACTAATGGATTTTTTTTAAAGAAAAAAAGAACATTTAAAAAAATAACTTAATTTCAAAGTATCTCAGCCTTCTGTTCTAAACACCATGGGGACAGGAAGCTCTGCTTTGGGAGTAAATTTTATTAAAATAGAACAAATTAGAACTAACTTTTGATTTTGAAAATGGAGATATTTAGGAATACCACTGAGAATATCCCCAAGAAAATATTTCATCAGCATGGGGGTGGTCCAATGCTTGGACCAGATTTTTCCATGATTTGGGCTTTTATAATCTCTTACTAACCATTCTCATCAACATAAATCTTGTCTGTGGCACACAGAAGTCAACTAAGTCAAGTACGATTTTCCGAAAGACTAATGGAAAGAAGACACACATTATCATGAATTTGGATAATTTGTTTTCAGTATGATATGGTTTGGCTGTGCTCTCACACAAATGTCATCTGAAATTGTAATGCAAATTGTAACCACCATGTCTGGACGGAGGAACCTCTTACTTTACGGTGAGAGGGAATCGGATCACGGGGGTGGCTCCCCATGCTGTTCTAGTGATAGTGAGGATCCTCTCACAAGACCTGCTGATAAGCGTCTGACATCTCCACTGTTTGCTCCCTCTTTCTGCGGCCTCGTGAAGAAGGTATTGGCTTCTTCTTCACCTTCTGCCATGACTGCAAGTTTCCTGAGGCCTCTCCAACCATGTGGAACTGTGAGTCTATTAAACTATTTTCTTTATAAATTTCCCTGTCTTGGGCAGCTTTTTATAGCAGTGTGAAAATGGACTAATATACAATATAAAATATACCACGGCCTTAATGTGGGGAAAAATATGTAACCTCAATAACAGAGTTAAAATATACCCTGTGCTAAACCTATCAGCTTACCACAGTTGGAGTGAGAAAATATGACCTTTCTTTCCCAGCCTAAGATCCACCTTCACAAATCCAGATTCCAGTTTGAGCACCCACTTGTCATTCAGGCTGTCATTTGAGATTCCCGTCCCCTCCGGAGAGACTCATTCTGATGCCCACTCCATTCCGCCCTATGGGACCCCTAGCTCCCAACTCAGCCTCACTAACCTATCACCGTATGTGGGGGCCTTATAAGTAATAAGGTGGAGTTTTCTTCAAACACCACGCAAAATGGCCCATCTATAACCTACCCATTGATGCAGGATTCTTAGAGATGGAGAAATGAGCTCCAGGGAGGTCATAAGATGTGGAGGGAGGAGCACAGAGCTAGGAGATTAGAGACCTGGGCAGACTCCTGATCCCAGCGTTCACACGCTGCAGTCCACCAGGGAAGTCATTTAATCTCCCTTACCTTCGCCCACTCAACCATAAAGTGGAGGGAATATGTAAAAGAGGACTATAGTTACCACCAAATCAAACACTTTGTATGAGGCATCTATTACAGTGTGGTGTACGTGGCAGCTGCCCAGTAAATTAAAGAAATGATTAGAACGAATGGATTTTGCTCATGACGGGATCATTTAGTTCTCATACCACCTTTGTTACTGTTACTGAATCTGATGGTGACGTTTGCCTCTTACCTAGAGCACAAACTCCCATTAACCTGCCCAATGGCATGACAGTAGTTGCCCTTTTCCCAGCCCCTTGCCTCTGCAGGGACTTCCCATGTTAGTTGGCAGTGTGGGCAGCAGGTGTTCCTGTCTTCGTCTTTGCTGTTGAAATATATGCACCCCCCCATGCTCTAACGTATTACTTGATCATGTTTCCTGTCATTCCCCCAAACAGCTGTCTGTGTGTTTATTGCTTTCCCAACCAGAGTGTGTGTTTCATAAACAGCAGCTTTGTTTTTTGTTTACTTGTGTCTTCTGTCCTCTGTAAGCTGGAGCAGTGTGCAGTGCGATGCATGCGCTCAGTGCAGGGTTGCTGAAATGCAAGGACACACAAGGCAACTCCCCTTACACAGAAGAGGAGAACGAGCTGTGTAAAAGGCATGGCAGTAAACCTCTTTCTGAGCCTGTAGGTCATGCCTTTGTGTGTTTCAGCAAGAATGAAGAATATCAGTCAAGAGTTTCCATGTCACTCCTGCCTAACCTATATATACTCTGAGTGTTTACAGAGTAGGGGACACCGAGACCAATATAACGGGTAGATTCACTGTGATAGAAAAGAGGTCTCAAATGCAATTTATTCAAATCTAAGTAATGGAATCTCATTCAGTTTCAGGCCTCATCAACAGCAGGGAGAACCACAAGTCACAAACTTCTTTTGCACTGAGAAAGGTGTTGCCGTGGGAACAGGGCTGCAGGCCATGTGGTCATCTTACTCATCTCTAGAGGAAGGCAGGGGAGAGAGTCCCAGACAGGTAGGAGGGACTGTGATAAGATCCAAGGAAGACAGGGGGAGGGACTTCTACCATGTCAGTCAGTAGCAAATGCAATAAGAATTAAAATGTCACCATGCAATCCACATTACAACTGAATAGAACATCGTCTAGCAGAGTTTCTTTCCTATGATTACAGGCTGTGTTGAAATCAGAAAGATACAATAAAACATATTGGCCTAATAGAATATATTATCATAAAACAAATATATGCTCTTCGTTTAAACGAAGAGTCCTAAAAGACTAACAGGGCACAGATTCTAAGTGGCTAAGTTTATGCCCATGCTAAGACCACCAAAGCTCATAGCTTTCAGGAGAGGAAAATCATGAGTCTCACAGCTTGGTAGACTACCTTCTAAAAAGGCTGGCTTCAGGTGTGGATATCTTGATCTTTTTATGATGGTAAAGCATCCCAAGTCATGGACCCTGTTGATACTGAAAACGTAATGACACCCAAAAAGTCTTCAGGTGGCATCATCAGGAAAAAGATTTGAATAAAATGACCAACCAGCAGATGTCAAGGGATAAGACCAAGACGATTCCTACACTGACACAGGGACAATTAGGTGGTAAGTGGGTGTCATTCCTTTTCTGTTGACAAATACATTTTTAAAGGGTGTTTTAATGTTTTTCTCAATAGGCTCTCTGAAATAAAACCCAAATGGGAAACAGTTTTCAGATACGCTAAAGGCAAGTAATTCTAGCGTGTGATCCTATGTAAATTAATAGCAGCAAAAAAGAAGGAAAGAGGAAAAGAAAGAAACCTTCCTTAACCCCTCCTTTCATTCATGTTTCCTCATATTTTCCTTAGCGCTTCAGTTGAGTAGCAGTAGAAATACGATGATTTATGAACTCCATGGGGTGAATTCTTGAAGTAATAACATTTACCACCATAAGTTCTCAGATTTCCTTTCCACACAGGAACTCTGAGAGCAGAGAAAATTGCTGCACTCTCCCGGCCAGGCATTAGATTGTGTGGTTCTGGCAACGTGACCCTAATGAGAAGAAGTCCATACTTCAGTTTTGGTTTAGAATTCAGTGACAGTTTGATTGTGGGCTCAACCTCTTCTGCTTCTATTGCAGTGTGAGTTACATGCTGAATTAATGAGCAAAAACATCAGGGCTTTGAGCCCATTTTGCGATTTCCTAGTTCCCTTCATTTCATTTTCGCTGGTGTATTTTATTTTTGTATCTTGATCCAAAATTCATTTGCATGTGATTTTTGTGCACACTGCGATCATCCTGAAGAACATGAACTTGTCAAACACTGGGAATCGATTACCCCCAGGAAATCCGTCGACTTGGTGAGGTGTGTCCTTTACAGACAGTTACTATAAAATTCTCCTTTTCTAAAAATCCTGTCATTAAACCCCACGATGGCTCTCTGTTGCTCAGTGCTGATCTTTTGCCTCTCAGTAAGCATGAAGAACACTTTCTGTTTCTTGCTGTGAGTTAATGCTATTTATATTTTAGAAATGCCAGATTCCTTCACAAGTCACTTGAGACTCGGTGGCAAGAATGAATTACCCTGAACTGTCTGTCTCTCTCCTGACAGGTCTGCGTGAAAGGCAGCTTGCCTGGAGCTGCATTCATTGTTATTTCACAATCTGAGAGCCAGCAAGAGACAGTTTTACAAATTTCTAACATAAGGCATAAAATGAAATTCAACAGAAACTAATCTTTTCTTTTTTAAAAAAAATTCTCTGGCTTTGACCAAATTAGTAGGGAATGAAATACTTTGAATCATTTAGGGTACATACTATTGTATTCCTCTGCTATTTAATCTTATAATCATTGCTCCAGGGAGACATATCTTAAAATTTATTGGCAAACACATTCCCTTGATTTCCTTTGCTCTAAAATAAAATGATGAATTAAGACTTAGCACATATATTAACCTTTCATATTTGCGATAGTTTCCACTTTGCATGGACAAATAGTGATCTGTATCCTGTGGCAACCAATTATAAGACACATACTGATATTGTACAATTTTAAATTAGTGGAACAACTGAGCTGATTCCTTAAGCCAGCAAAAAAGGTTTATTTTCTAGATTAATGAAATAACAGGATAAAATCTGAAGTGAATGTTAATGCATGTTATCTATGATATTGTCTATCAAATAATATCAAATCCATGTTCTTTATTCTAGAAATAAATCTACTATGTTATGATTATTTCCCTAATAATTATGTAACTAATGAACTATTAATCCAAGACAATTGGTCCTGCATTTCTTCATGATGTTTTGCTCCCTGGGTAAGCCAAAGGTAAACAAATGCATGGCTGAGATGCCCAGGGTTCCCCAAGCTCCCTGGGGAATGTCAAAAATAAACAGATCTTCCCAAACATTAGCGCTGATCTCCTCCTTTTACATGGAAAGTTCATGTTTAAAGAGTGAGAATTTCCCACCCCAGCAATAGCATCTGAATCAATAGAAACTGTGACTCCTGCCTCTATTTGAAATTTTAAAATGAACTCTTCTCAGAATATTGTCCCCAATTAATAATGATAAAATCTTATCAGCAATAATGAATATTTATTTACTTATCTGACTTGTGTTACATGCCATATTAGGCACGATTTTTTATTGTTTAATTGTCGCAACAATCCCATGAGGTTGGCAGCTACATTTTACAAACAGAAGCAAAACAAAAGGTTCTAGAAGTTTTTAGAGACGTTACGTCACTTATCAAAAGCTGTGTAAATGGCTGATTTATGACTCAGCGAAGATATCTTTAGCTCAGTACCTGTGATGTTGGTACCAAGTTTTTTATTAATCATCAGTCTTGTAACAAGAAAAACGATGATTTGATAAAGAAATTTCTGTTCAAATTCTCCTTTTAAGTACTTAGAGTAATCGTTTTCTTAATTACTTGCAGCCTCCTATTTCAATCTCATTCTTCTTTGCCAAACTTACCTTCTGCTAAACTAACTCCTATTGATTTCATTGTATAATTTTTCTCCTGTGCTCTGTCATTAAATTATTGTTCAGCCTACAAACATTTCTTGCTAAATTCTTTAAAATATATATATATTTCTAAACAGTCTCTCCAGAGTCTCTCTGCTTGCAGCACTGTCTTCCCATTCTCTGCTCTGCAATCCCTGTAGTCTTTTCTCAACACAGTTCTGATGTTGAATGCTTGCTTGAAAGAGTCCATTGGTGTCCCATTGAACTTAGAATATCCACCAATTGGCCGGGTGCAGGGCTCACACCTGAAATCCCAGCACTATGAGAGGCTGAGGCGGGTGGATCACCTAGGTCAGGAGTGCTAGACCAGCCTGGCCAACATGATGAAACCCATCTCTACTAAAAATACAATGAAATTAACTGGGCACAGTGGCTCCTGTAATCTCAGCTACTCAGCAGGCTGAGGCAGGAGAATCCCTTGAACCAGGAGGTAAAGATTGCAGTGAGCCGAGATCACACTATTGCACTGCAGCCTGGGAGACAGCGAGAAACTCAGTCTCAATAAAAAAAGAATAGATACCTACATATTTAAGATGGGCTGCAAGTCTTGTTGCAGTCTTCCCACCTAGAACCACCTAGAGCCATCAGCCTTATTTCCTGATACTCCCCTAGAGCTATCTGTTTTCCAAACCCTCTGGTTTCTACACAGCCCCTGAAGCCCGTGCACCTGCTATTTCTGCACTTCAATGGTGCTCATTTCCTGTCTTCCACTGCTCATCCTACTCAACCTGAGGCTCTCGTTAAGTTGTCATTTCCCACCTTACCTCCCTAGATACTTTCAAATCCCTGAGATGAGCTCTGAGAGCCCCACGGCTCTTAGCAGTGTGTTTCACAGCAGTTCTACAGCCGTGTGAAGTCTGTCTCCTCCGCTGTGTGCTCCAGGATGAAACTGCCCTCGCCTTTGTCACTCCCAGACCTGATACATATCGTGTCCACGGCAGACACAAAGTAATTTTTAAATGAGTGCATACTACTCAAGAACGAGTTTTGGAGTTTTGAAGTCCTAAGAATTATGCGCTGCTAGATAGGTCCTTTAAAGGTTCTACTATGAGGTTGTTACAGTTTGCTTCTTATTTTCTATTCTTTTCCCCCCTTCTCCACTGTTTTCATATATTTTCTTTTATTTGCTTAATTGCTTCACTCAAGGTTCCTATGCAATAGTATGGTTATTGACACACATTCAAAGCATTTTATATTTTGAATATTGCTTTATTGACTTGCAGATTATTTATAAGTATTTTTTCTCAAGTTCCAAACATATGGAGTGCTTCTATTTATCTTTTGATTATGAACATTCAACTTAGATTTACTGTGATCAGTAAACATATCCTGTAAGAGTTAAATCTTCTGAAATCTGTTTAACTTGATTTTTGTACTTAAAAGTATTCAATAAAAAATGTGTTGCATGGCCTGGTACTCAGCAGTTACTGGGTACAGAAGTTTATAAAAGCCGCAAAGTTAAATTTATTATTTCTCTAATTAAATTATTGTGTGATTTCTGATAACACTTTTTTTTTCTATTGTGAATTTGCCTATTTCTCATGTAATGTTACCAGTATTAAATTTGTATATATTTTTTTGTCTCATTTTTCTTTAGATTGGCAAATGTAAGTTCATCTACATCTGAGTGTGTGCTTTTTTTCCTGTCTTATGCCATCTGCTGTTAAACTCATCCAGTGACTTACATTAGGTCTTGTATTTTTTTGTTTTTTCTAGAAATTCCAGTTGTCTTATTTTATGACTGTTATTTATCTGCTGAACTTTTTAATTTTTATATTCACTGTGCTTGTATTTTCCTTTATATCATCAAAGTCAATGTTATGACTGCTTTGAAATCCTGATCTGCTCATTTCCACAACTGGCTCCTTCCTGCTGGCTCCTTATTTTCATAGAATGGATCACATTTTTCTGTTTCGATGTGAATCTTGCCATTTTTAAGTCTAGAAGTTGTACATGCTAACTTTTGCAGATACCAAGATTTTCAGATAATACTGTTTGGTGCATACAAGT